TAAATTATCTAACGATTAGATACATAGCGCATAAGATCTCGGGCGTTTTTTTTTTCGTTGAATTAACTCGTACCAATTTAAGATTTAATGGACCAAACGATGTTTGTTCCCGATGCAAGCACATCGACGATGGAAAACACGCGAGTTTTTCGTGACGACCCGGCTTTCCTGGCACGTAAACGAGCCGGCATGTTGTCAACAACAGATAAACGAACCGCCACCAAAATATGTCGTGTTTGTGGCGATAAAGCCTACAGTTACAATTTCAACGTGATCACCTGTGAGTCGTGCAAGGCATTCTTCCGTCGCAACGCGAACAAGGAAAAGGTTTTAAACTATTTAAAGCGTTTATAAATTTTCTGTGGTGCTGTGCCCTTCAAGAATTTTGCTTGTGACTAGAACTGAAGACCAGTAGTTCGGATTAGAATGATGAGATTCATGTTAGTGGCAATCCGATAATGTTAACTGATTAAAGGCACCACTGAAATTCCAGTCTCATTTAGAACGCTTGAAACCCAAACGTCAATCCAACAAAACTCAGGCCTCATTTATCATGATTGCTTGCAGTACGGTCAGTTTTTGATTGGTGAATACCCCTCTTCTAAATGAAAAAAGATTTTTGAGCGTATTTTCGAAAAAGTCGGTTTCATTACTACCATTCTGTTTTTCTACTGCTTGTTGAAAAAAAAAGTTGGCCTTGAATAGCGTTCTTTTTTCACCACCATTTTCTGTTCCTTCCCTCTATGTTCATATTAAACAAACTTTAGAAGTAAATTTTAAAGAAATTGTTTTTGAGGAGATTCGATGTCCGTTCAGTAATCGTTGCGAAATTAACATTGTTTCTCGACGATTCTGTCAACGTTGTCGACTTCAAAAATGTTTCAGTGTTAGTGCATTTTTTGTCAAAAAATTTATAACAATTTGCAAGATTGTTCGGCCATTTCACATAGAGATCCAGTCCTGCTCGGAATATAGTGCAAGTCCACACGCTGGACAAAGCTATGCTAGGCCCGCTCTCCTGAGTTGCTTTAACTTTTCTAAAAGCTTCGCTGATAAGTAGATAGTGTTGGAGAATTGTTATTCCTAAAATCATGTGTGTTATTTAATGCTTTTTGTTATTCCTAAAAACATGTGTGTTATTTAATGCTTTTAACTTTTACAGCAGCTGAAACTAACAATTTTGCATTATTATAGTTTCTATTTTCCACCATTTTGACAAAATAGGAGAACAGGTCGCTCTCGGACTTTTTTTGGCTGAAGGCTGACCCCTTTTTATCCTCAGAGAGGGCAGACCCCTTTTTATCGACTAAGGATCGTTTTATTTTTAACTGATGGAGGACCGATCCTCTTTTATCGGTGAAGACTGACATGTTTTTATGGGTGAGGAACCAAACCCTTTTTATGCGTCATTGCATATTTATACAAATTGAAAAGCGAGTATTGTAATGATCCATGATGCGCTTTGTGTGTGTATGCTTTGTTTGTCCAAGTGTTCCAAATATCCATACAAATGAGCCTGAAAGCTAGATTTTGCCAGAGGGTTTCCTGGCAAAGTGCTACTCCAGGAAGATGGTGTGAACTTTCATCACGTATTTTTAAGCCTCACGCACGGACACTTTAAAATTACTAGCCCGAGAACCAGAAAGACTAAAAAACTGAAATCTTAAAGTATGCTTGGTTCCTCAGTACTGGCGCGCGAAAGTTTAGGCAAAAAAAAATTACTAACTCGAAGGCGAGAAAAGCCAAAAAGCCGAAATTTTGAAATTTTCTCTCGCCATGTGTGATGCAAAAATTTCAAATCCAGCCATTGAATGGTCTTGGTTCCAGCGTGTGGAATACGAAGTTTTTAGCGGGGAAATTGTTAACTGGGGAATTAGATAAACTGGGAGGCTAAAATTTTATGGGGATATTCGTGGTGGGCGTTCGTTCTAAGGCTTCAAATTCAATTCGTAGGTATACTTAGTTCTCACGTATGGGTACACGAGAGTTTTATACGATTTTGTCATCCTTCCACATCTTGCTCCTTGACCAATTTGCGTCCTCAACGACCAACCAGCAATACCCAAATTTTAATTCCCCCTCCGTACAAAATTTATAGTAATCATGTATGAGATTACACGCGGTTGCGTGATTTAATACTGCCAACCCAACTGACGCCTTCTTCCTCCTGTATGGGTCAATAACGATAACACTGTCACGATGAGTGCGCATGTTATGTTGTAAAGCAACAACCATTTATACTGCTAACGATCTAGTCACTATGATTTTAGTGTAAAAACGCACGATCGCGTCGGCAAGCTTAGTGCATCGCTATCTAGGTTGGGGCAGCGAATTGGGAAAAATTTTCCTATGTGTAAATATTTTTTTATAAAAAAGATATTAGTATATGATAATAAAGATATTAGAGCATAATTGCTCAGAATACGATGATTGTCTGGGCTATAAGTGTGAGTATTCTTCGATGAAAATAGGATGCTTCCAAAAGTCGGGCGCGGCTATAACTAGTTCTTTGATCCTAATCTGCATATCTCTAGCTGATGTGCTCCGCCTATTCGATGTGTTTGCGCCACCACTTCGAGGACCGCCTGAGTGGTCGTTTACTTTTTCGCGGATACCACCCACAGAAAAGCCACAATTACTTTATTTTTTGATAAGCAGAAAAAAAAAGATCGTCTATTTTTTTTTGCTGTTACCCAGTCTAGGCTGAGAAATTTATGAGGCAATAAGCAACAGCTGTGCTGAATAGTCAAAACATAGTAAGTGCATGTGTCCTTTGTTTCGGAATCTCACTGAATATAATGCAAGCGGCACGTGTGCCTCATGATGATTTGGCCCTCTAGCTTAATTAACTGTTGTTGAATGCTGCTTTATAGGTTGGAATGAAAAAGGAATGGATAATGAGCGAAGAGGCGCGGCTGGAGAAGAAGCAGCGGGTGCAGGAGAACAGGGAACGACGCCTTGCCGAAGCTGCTACATATGTACAGGCTTTTCAAGTGGCATTTTCAGTATTTTGAATTTTAAACGATTTTATAATGCCCAAGCTTTCGTTCACTGCAAATCGGGCTTTATTTGCGAAAAACAAGAAGGGCCGGGAAAAATTTTGAATTTTTTCACTATCGCAAAACCTTTCGATGTGCTCTGCTGTTCACTTGCTTCCGCGTCATTTCACTAAAACAAGTGGGATAGCTAAACTGGTACTGGAGTATGCCAGGGAGCCAAAACTGCCATCTTCCTGCTTGTAAGGAACCTTTAAAAAGTGGGAGCAACCGATGGCCTTGTTAGTGGAAGGTTGAATATTGCTGGAATTTGCCACCAGTCACAGTGCTTCCTGATTCTCATAGATAGCAAACATGAAAGGAATTTTAGCTTCTGCCCTTTGATCAATTTTATTTTGAGGAAATAAATAAATAAGTTGTTTTAGCCGAAGAAATCTTCCAACAGCAATACTGATAAACTGACTGGATCAGAGACGCTTCAAACGCCAGCGAATGCACATCTGCAGCCAAGCGCACAAATTTTATCAAATTTGTAAGCTTTTCTTCCATGCTTGTGCAGTGAGATTTTTATTTGGTGGCAGCAGGCATCAATCCTTTTGGTGGATCTAGCATCAATTTCTTATTTTTATCGTTTGCTTTTTTTGAAAAACATAGTTTTTTACGTTTCCTTCGCCGCTTGTGTAGTTCTCCAGCTCATCAATCAGCGGTCATCTTACTTTTTTACACAGCAGGTATCAGTGCTCGAAGGTGTGATAGGGGTTAATCACATAACAACTTCCTCAAGGACACCGGTCGCCAGAACAAATCATTAGCGAAGTGCACCGGACGGGCACGTGCGATCATGCGTTTTTGCAATATTTCGTGTCGTAATGAGATCGCTCGGAAACCCAGTAGCTAGAAATGTGTGATATGCTGGTCTTCGAAGTCCGGCAAGCTAATTTTCTCTGCGGAATTTGAACAGAGGACATTTCGTTGAAATTTCAGCTTTCCAAATTTTATGGTTCTTGAGTTAGCAATTTTCCTGCCAAAAATTTTCACGTGGCCGTGCGTGAGTACCACTCAAACTGAAGGGCTGAATTTGATAACTGTAAGTTGTACTTGTGCTGGGAACATTCCCTGAAAACTTCAGATTTCCAGATTCCCTAGTTCCCGAGTTAGCCACTTTCTTGCCAAGAAATTTCACGGGGCCGTACGTGATTATCACTCATACTGAAAGGCTGAATTTGACAACTATAAATTTCAACTGTGTTGGGAAAATTCCCTGAAAATTTCAGCCTCCCAGCTTTCCAGGTTCCCTAGTTAGCGATTTTCGCGCCAGGAACTCTCACGGGGCCATATGCGGGAACCACGCATATCTGGGGGCTAAATTTGAAATCTTTGAGTCCTTTGTAGACGGGAGGCATAACATAAAAATTTCAGCTTTCTAGCTTTTCTGGTTCTCGAGTTAGCGATTTCCCCGAGGCCCAGACTTGAGTGAAGGTTTGTACCGCGATCCTGGGGTGGCATTCGGGCGGGGGACCATCGGCAAAATTTTGGCATCGGAGCTTGCTTGGGTGTCGAGTTGAAATATCCGGACAAACGCACATACACCGGGGTCGTCACAATATGCGTTTTTGCATTTGCATATAAGCAAAAACGCATAAATACTTAACGTCACTCACGAGGCTGTTTCAAACAACTGTAGAAAACTATAACACTTTTATCCACACAGCAAATAAACTCTTCGTTACGCAGCTCAGTCTCATTTTCAGGATAAAAAGTTGAAACTGCATATGAATTCCGTTCTTTCTGGAGTAGAAATAGAAAAGGAAGGAAAAAAAGATGCGAATTAGAATGTATAGAGAAAAGGAAAGTATGAATTAGAAAGGGACAATGTGAGACCAGAACGTGGTAATATGATAAAACAAGAATAAGCCAAGCTTTTCCAAGAAATTTCTATGTGCCATTGCATCAGAATAACTTTAGCCAGATTTACTTTTTAGGCCTGTTTTATCGGATGAAGCGATGCCATTGGGTTTGTCAAATACTGCAGCTGCAGCTGCAGTCGGAGATATGATTGCTCAAAACGCTGCTGCAGCGGCTGCTGCTAGTGCTCCATTTCCGGCTGCGGCAGCTGCAGCGGCAGCAGCAGCAGCTGCAACAATACCGTCAGCTTCGGCCTTCCACCCATCGCTACCGGATCCGGTTTCCGGTATGTTATCGTCATCTGCTCAATGAGCCATTTTGTATCGGTATTTTCAAACCGAAAATTTTACCGTTTTAAAAAAATACGTTGCAGGAGTTTCAAAAGGCGCTGTTGCTATCGCGGCTGGTAATTCGTTTCTAGCTGATCCGGAGCAGACTATGGTAAATCACGTGGCAGAGCAAGTACAAATGGCACAAGTAAGGATAATACTTGACTTTTACTTCTTTTGCTGAACTGAGCTGTCTGTGTGTTTGTGTTTCGATAGATTAGGAATCCTGGTCACAACCTTTTTTAACAGAAATTCAATTGACACGACCAGGCACACTCCACTTGTTTTTCGTAGAATAAAAATTGAACAAGGCCAACATTCACTGCTGACATGGATTCGGCTTCATCATCGAAAAAGTCGGTTCCATGAATTTACTGGTTTATACATTTTCTCCAGTTTTCTCGTGCTGTTGAAATCCGTGCAGTAGATCTGTCTTGGAAGCTGTGGTGGGTGCTTGCTGCGCCAAAGAAGGGTTTGGAAATATCTCGCAAATCAGTTACGCACCACCAAGGCATGTGTCATGAAAGTCTCGCAAAAAGCCAGCAAAATTGATAAATCTGAAAGTGCGTAACAGATAGTATAGAGTAATATATGTATGCGAATGGGGTACAGGCACCAATATTTCAGTTCTTGAGCCGGTAATGAGCCGGTAATGTAGTGGTAATATGAGTAGTCATACAATGAAAACAAAAGCCTATAACCCCTCACGGCCTATAACCTCACGGCCTAAAACCCTTTGCAAAAATAGGCTCCATTCACGACGCTACAGAGATTCCTAGCCTCAGTCCTGCGTTTAAATGATTTCTGGCTTCGTATCTTCTGGGATCAAATTTTATCGGCAAACAGCTTGCTAGTTCTCTCACTATTCACCCATCACTGTGCTGCTTGTGTTTATGTGAAGTGTGCTAACTTCCAACTGTTCTTGAGTATATTTGGCCTTAGCAACTCTGTGTATTTTTCAGGCACAGCTACAACAGGCAGCTCAGATTGGGCAACAACTGCAGCAGCACGTTGCAGCGCAACAAATGGTGCAACAGCAGGTGCTTTTTAAAGTATTCCCTATCTAAAATTTGTAGCATGTCTCATGTTGAAACTTTAAGGATTAAACGATAAGCAGCTGACAACGACTTTTTAAAGCAATTTGCAGTGCGCACATATACAGTACATGTAACGCAAGCACATTTTGCATTTTATTCTATTGCAGGCAGTGCAATTGGCTGCAGCACAAGCGCAGCAGCATCAACTAGCTGCAGCAGCTGCGGCTGTAGTAGCTGCAGCTAGCAGTTTGACACCACAGAAACCATCACAACCCGTCCTGAACGTTGCCAGTCAGTTGGAAGCACTGAACAAGCAGTTCACTCAACTTGGACAAAATAGCTCGGTAAATCCTTATTTGATTTGACTGTATTAGTTCACTCCGGCATCGATCTCCAAACAGCTACTCAGCAAATTTGTTAACCTGGAGATGTCCAGCCTTGATATCAGCCTAGATACCCAGAAATTTCTGCTGATGCCACTGCTTACTACTTTATGCCAGTGATAAGCCGCGCTCATTCATCCCGAAGCGAAAAATTCTCTAAAACCTTTTTTGACTGAATTAACTTATGGAATTCCTTGATAGTTACTGGTCGTGTTCTGCAGAACGTCGCAACATACGGAACTGGAAACGATGAAATGGTGACAATACCAAAAGACGTATTCGTCCATCTTGTCGATCAGGACGGCTGCACCGCACCCAGCGAAAGTAAAGAGTGCGCTCAAAAGTGTACGTGTACTTGTCAATGTGGCAGATACCAAGCTGGAAAACTGATAGTTGATGAGGTAGGCATATTGCCTTCTTTTCTCAAAAAACCATTTGTCAAATACATATATTTATAAAGTCGCTATGGAATGGTGATTTTCAATGAAATCTCGAAACGGTTAAAGCCTTACCAAGTGCTTCTGTCAGGACAGCGTTGCTCTGGTAA